CCCCAAAACCCCAAAACCCCAAAACCCCAAAACCCCTCTTTTTGTCTGTGACCTAGAATCTTTTATATAATTTAACTTTTAATGAAGATATATTGCCTATTTCTTTTATTGATTGCATTTTGTTTATGACAAGACTCAAACCAACAATATCCTGGAATTGTTGCATCTCTTGGGATTAGTTTCTTGAACAAGGTTAAGGACAATTATTTCACACGAATGATGGAGGACATTAATAACCTCCAAATTGAGGATTCGAACGAAGGTAAACTGAGAATGCACTCTATGAAAATGAATATTGAGATTCCTTCTTCAGAAAACCTGCAGATTTTCTTTGACACTCAGAATGATGGCTTAAGATTTACAATCAGTAATTTAAAAGCCGAAGTTTCTGGAAGATGGGTTTTCAAAAAGTCATTTGTTAAGATAAAAGGTCATTTTAATTTGAGAGGCATTTTTGATTTAGTTGGAGTGACTTTTGGCTTTACAACACAAGAAAAGGATGGATATCAAATTCCTGCTGTTTATACAAAAGCTGTAAATATAGAAACAGATAAGCACAAATGGAAAGGCAGTTTTGGAAACAATGCAATTGAAAAGGTTGGAAATTCAATCATGAAAGCTTTTCGAAACAAAGGAGTCAAATCAATTAAGAAGAAACTTACTGATAAACTTCAAAATAAAGTTCCTACTACTATTAATAGAGGAATAAAGAACTCAATTCAGGTAGAAGCTCCTTTGGAATCTTGGATTTATATGAATATTGCTACAGTTAGTCCTATTAAAGTCAATCCAGACTCTCTTTCAGTCCCTCTCAACGGAACTGTGTACATCCCAGGGTCTAATGTCAACACAAAGCATAAAGCAACTGAAGTTATGTTGAATATGAGTAATTCTCAGAATGATGTACTTGTAACAGCAAGTAATTATGTTTTTGATACCTTCACAGAATCCCTAAACCAATACGATTTTGACTATTCTCTGAATAGCAATGGTTATAGCATTAATGTTTTTATCCCAGGAAATAATAATTCAATAAGTATAAAGAATACAGATAAAGGGCTTCACTTTATTGCTCAAGGAACTTGCCTCATGCTTCAGTCAAGAACTTCTTTTGATATAAAGATATCAGGCGACTTGACATTTAACTTTACTAAAGGTGATGAACAAAATATGTTCTATTTACACCCAATTATTAATAAAGACTCTTTGGATATCTCTACTTCTAATGCTCATTTGGTTGGCCAAAGCCTAGGACTTGGAATTTTGAGTCCGATATTTGGACCAATACTTGAGCATTTCTCACTAAAACTAAATCCGAAGCCTATTCCAGTTAAGAAAATAAAGGATTTCCCGTTTACTCTATCCGCTTCAAGTACAGAATATACCGAAGCTCATATGTTTGCTCGATTGGATTTCTAAGTTATTTGCATAAATATGTTTCAATAAGATTAATTGAAAAAGGGGTTTTGGGGTTTTGGGGTTTTGGGGTTTTGGGGTTTTGGGG